AATTCTACACATGACTTGCATAAACAAAAAAAAAAAAAAATTAAATTGGAAATGATTTCAATTTTTAACACATTATGCTATACAAAAATCATTTTTAAAATACCAGTAACTAAAATATTTTTTTAAAAATTATATATTTTTAAAACTGTTAAAACGATTAATTATCTATAAGTAAAAAAAAAAAAACAAAATAATGATTTTTTTTGTCATTTATTTCAATAACTATTTTAATATTAAATCAGTTTTAAAAAAATATCTTTTTTATATTTTAATTATTAGGATAAATTTAATTTAATCAATCCTTGAGAATTACAATAAATATGGTTTATTTATTTAATAAATTTTTTTCAGGGTCGTCCCAAATAAATTCATTATTATTTTCATATACACCTTGGGATTTAAAGAAAAAAAAAAAAAAAAAAAAAAAAAAACAGATTGAACAACAGATATTTTTTTTTTTTTTAAAAAAAATGAACAAAAATTTACAAAAAAAAAATAATAATAATAATAATAATTTATATATAATACGTTAATGTTACAGATTACAGGTTAAAAAAATTTCATTTTTTTTTTTTTTTCCTTCAGAGCAATGAAAAAAAAAAAATTAAGTAAAATTTATTTTACTTAAAAAAATAAAAATAAATTTTAATAAATTTATTTATTTTTAAAGGAATAAATAATCCTTTAATTATTTTAAATAAAAAAAAAATTTGATTTAATTATTATACAACAAAATCAATTGATTAAATTTGTTTTTTGAAATGTATAAATTTAAGATCATTAATTTAACTTTTAATTAATTATAAACAGTTGTTAAAGAAAAAAAAAAAAAATTCAGTTACGGGTATTGTTTACAATTGATACAATTAAAAATAATTTTTTTTTTTTTCTCTTATTCTAAAAAAAAAAAAAAAATGTTTAATTATCTAAAAAGCCCAAGACAATACCTTCCGTTCTAGTTTTGTACTTGAGTAAGGAAATCCAAGGCTCGCCTATTATTCCTAAATAAAAATAATAATAAATTTTATTTAATATTCATCACAAAAAAAAAAACGAGAATTTTATTATTATTATTATTATTATTATTTTTTTGCTTACTTTATCTTCCCCCTGAATACGATCTTGACCTTCTGTCACGACTTCTGGATCGGGAACGTGAAAATGATCGTCTTCTTGGAGATCTTGATCTGGAAAATATAATATATTTTGAATTGAAGCAAAAAAAAAAAAAAAAATAAATTTTTTTTTTTTAATTTGAAATGTTTGTTTAAAACTTTTTTGTGTTAAGCTCACGGTCTTTTTTTTTTTTTTTTTTTAATATTTTAAGATAAATTATATTAAGACATAATGCGGCGTTAATTAAATTTGATGAAAAAAAAAAAATTTAAATATATTATGTACATTAAATTGTAAATGTATTCGTACACATAAGTTAAGCATTATTTTTGTTAATTTATAATAATACTTATTTGGCTTCTCATATTGTAAGCAAATTTATATAAAATTTAAATTTCAATTTTTAATGCTTTAAATTAATAAGAAAGATTGCTTTAAATTTATATATATATATATATGATTATATTATGTATTTTAAACTGTTAGAGTAGTTTATTAAATAAACTTGGATGAGTTACACAAAACGTTAATTTTTATACAATGACACAATTTTTATAAGTTAGCGATAAAAAAAAAAAAAATTTCTTTTCGATTATTAGTAATGGTATAAACACAATTTTCAAAAAAAAATTAAAAATTATAGAAAAATTGATATTTAAAAAACTTAACATGACATGGAATTATCTGCTAATGCTAACTCCATAATTATGATTTAAATGATTTAATGTTACTGAAAAAAAATTCATGCTGTCATTTTCCCACATTTGTACTTACCACAGCAATGGGTCAAAAGTTACACGATTATAAGCGAAAAAAAAAAAAAAATTTATCTGGTTAAGTCAAGCAATGAAATAAATGCATTGCTAACCCACCGAAAAAAATATCAATAACATGGGAAAAGTTAAGTTTAAATGTACATGTTAAAATTGATAACCAAATAATCTTACCAGAAAAACCCAGTTGATTGTGGATTGATGAAAAATTTAGATGTTTTTTGTAATCTATAGATGTGTCATGTGCCATAAAAAAAAGCCTGTTGTTGGCTGTTGTTGTAAATAAAGTTGCTGAAGGTTTGTTGGGAAGAAATAACTCGCGATTGATTGATATATTCAAGTTGAAAAGTTGAAAGCAGGGAGTTGAATGAGCTGGGCGGAGCGGACGGAATAAGAAGGACGAACAAGAAGCCTTGAGCAACAATGAAGCTCCAACCCAAAACACCAGTTCTCTACTCGGTACTCTTAATATTTTCATGTTGGAGGTATTAAGGATGCATTTATCAGGAGTGGGATGAGTCGTAGCCTGTAAATTTTGGAAAAAAATGTTTACAAAATTTTTTTTTTTTCTAGATTTTGATTTTTTTCATATGTAGTAATAATTACTACTACTTTTTTAAACAGAAAATTGTTGATCATTGAATTCCTATGAAGAGGTTTTACAATATAAAAGAAGTTTTTTTAAGGCACAAAAGAAAATACTACTACTCATTAAAAAGTTCAATTATGAAGAAGCACAGGGACTTTAAATATGAAATATATATAATAAGCATTCCAAATTTACAATTACTTCTGACATTAATTTAAAATAAATTTTTACTTGATGCTGATGTTTTGGTATTACAGACCATCATTTTTTAGTTCAAATTGTAGAAGGTATAATCTTCAAATTTTAAAAACCTTAACACTCAAACCCTTTTCATGTATAATCCAAAACATAAGCAACAGTCAAACATTTTAAGAATTATTATGATTATGTTAATAAAGTAATAATTATTACTTTAAAAACTGTAAAACAATAGCTAAAATTATTAAGAAACTCACCTAGAATAGCGCCTTGAACCTCTTCCCCCACCTCCCCCGCTTCCTCCACCACGCCGGCTACGACCTGATGACATTTCTACACGAATCCTAGTACCGCAGCATCTCCTATTGAAAATAAAAAAACACATTTTAAGCAATACAGAAAAAATCATTTGAATGAAATGTTAGGAGTAAACATTGCGTTTACTTACGTTCCGTCTAAGCCCCGTACAGAATCCTCAGCATCGCGGGGATCTTCAAATTCAACAAAAGCAAATCCTGGTGGATTCCTAGCCACCCAAACATTTCTCAAGGGTCCATATTTACTAAATGCCGCTTCAATTTCATGCTTCGAAGCGTTACTCCCAAGGTTTCCTACATATACTTTACATGACAAATCCCACTCTCTGTATCTCGACATAATTACCTTTCTGAAAACAAGTTTATTAAGACAAATTTATAACATACAAAAACTTTAAAAAACAATTAATATTTAATTTAAAAGAATTAATTTACCACAAATAAAATTTAAAAAATTTATTAGACGATGCAGCGGTCGGTCACTGCAAACTCTAATGTTAAAGCATTGGTTTTCAGGGCCTCATAATATAGAAATAATACTGTTTTATCATTCGTCCGCCATTTTTCTGGATGCGAAATCTTAAGTAGTACTTGTTTGTAATTCATTTGTATTAATTTTATTTTTATAGTGTAATATGTCGTCAATGACAATAGATCAGTTAAAAAAATCACTAACAGAACAAGGAATATCATTACCGCCATCACGCTCAAAAAAAGCCGATTATTTGAAGTTGTACAAACAATACAGCACAATGAATGATTCTCTAGGCGATGTTTACTCAAGCGATGATGAAAACCCTCCAAAAACCGGCAGTCAAAATGTCACTAGTTCTACATCACCTAACAAAAATAATGTGATTAAAGATGTGGAAATGCTCTCTGATGACGAATTATACCATCAACTTAAGGAATTTGATGCTAATATTGGTCCTGTGTTAAAAAATACCCGGAGAGTTTATGAAAAAAAATTAATTAAGATTCTGAGTGGCTTAAATAATAGTACTAGCGGTAACGTTAAGGAAACTAACAGTACAGAGGCAAAAAACAAAGCCGAAAATTTTACTCCACCTGTGGATGAGTTTTCAGACAGCGATGTTGAAGTAATATCACCGTCACCCATAAAAAATGACGCGAAAAACAGAAAAGGTTCAGAATTACGTGAATCTCCTAAGCCTAGCGTAACTGAGCCAACAAAATTTGAAACAGAAAAGTCTTACGTGCCATCGTATGAACGTAGTGGTCGTAGTACGACACCAGGGTTATCCAATGACGCTCCGAAAACATCACGCTACAGTTATATTGAAACAATACCTAAAGGATCTAGTTACAGTTATATTGAGCAAAGTTCAGATTTAGATTTGAGTTCTGATTTGAGGAAAAGATTTGCTGATAGGTATAATTCAGAAAAATATTCAGAGCCTTTATATTCAGAAAGACACATCAACGACAAACCAAGTTCAGGAGATATTTACAAAAGTTATGATAAAGTTGATCACTTCAAGACAGGTTTAGGTAGTCAACTGAAATTTGGTCTCGATAATGAAAACCAATTTAAATCTGGGTTTAATACTGCTGGACAATATAAACCTAATATAGGAGTAAGCAACAGAAAAAAATCTGGTAGTGGATTTGGAGATCATTACATTGGCACTTGGGAGCCAAACATTAACAGATATTTGGGCACAAACACACAAAAGGTGAACTCACAATGTTCCAACTCTTCCGGGTGGTTAAAGAGTATAATTGCAGGTTAGATATATTTAATTATGTTTTTATAATTTTATTGCACTACAAATTGTAAATCTGACTACAATTTTTTGTTTTTTTTTTTTTTAAAGTTTTAGTTATACTGGTTACATTGTATTTTATTTATTACTTATATCAACAATGGTCTACATTAGATCCTTACAAAATGATTGAAGATGATGCAGAAAGAACAATACAGGAATTAAACGAAGAATTGGAAGTTAATTAATTCACATTGTGAAATATTTCATAAGACTTCCATATACTCCCTACATGTATTTCATTTCAGTAAAATTATCTTAAACTTATTTTTAAATGTTTATTTACTGAAGAATTTTTTTTTTTAATAATTATTTAAAACATATCAAAACAGGTTTAAATAGGTGAAGAGAAAAATTATTTTTAAGTTTTTTTTTTTTTTTTTTTTTTTTTTTTTATTGAAAAGTCTTAGAGACTACAGATAGCATTAAATTAGTATAAAAAAATTAGTTTTTCAGAATAATTTTTATTATATGACAATATATTTATGTACACATTATTTTTAAAAAAAAAAAAAAGTTTGAATAATGATTTTTTTAATTATATTTTTAAGATATAAAGTTTTTTTTAATATAAAAAATAAAATATTTTTAATATTATTAAATAAAATATTTAATTTTAAGTTTTGAACATAAGTTATTTATAAATTAAGTCCTATCAAAATGAGTTTAAATAAATAAAAAAATTTTATATGCCTTTAATTTTTATTATTAAATAGATTGCAAAAATATTTTAAGGTGTTAATGTTTAAAATTTATTTTTAAAAACAATTAAACGATTATTATGTTTTGTATTTATATAAAAAATGAATGTATTTTGGAAAAAAAAAAAAAAGTTTTTTGTAACAAATTTAAATTTGTGAGTGTTTAATTTGCAAAACGTTGTTAGTGAAACTCATTCAAAAAAAAAAAAAAAATCATTTTTTTTATCGAAATAATTTGAATTTAAAAAAAAGTAAATAATTATTAATTTTTACAATTAATTAATTTGGAATTACAGCAATTTGAAAATGATTTTTTTTTTTGGAAATAAATTTTATTTTTCCGGTTTTTAAAAAATAAATCAATAAAGTGTAAAAAAAAAAAAAATTGTATGTGGCCCATGGGGGGATCGAACCCACGACCTTCGCGTTATTAGCACGACGCTCTAACCAACTGAGCTAATGGGCCTTGTTGCCTACGACTTAGAAATGCATGATATAATACTTCCGACGCTATATTGTACTTAAAACATTTTGTCAGTAATTTTTTTTTTTTTTTTTAAATATAAAAATAAATAAATTTTATTATTTTAGTATTGATTATTTAAAAATGTAAGTTTTTTTTTTTTTTTCTAAATTTTGGGTATTAACTTTGAGCTGTTTTGTTTAGAAACCATATTATTATTAAAAACAAAAATAAAATACAAACCTGAAGTGTAAAAAAAATAAATAAATATATATTATTTATGAAAAAAAAAAAAAACTAACTAAGAATTTTAAAATATTCAAAAGATCTTGAATGAATTATAATACTTAACAAAAAAAAAAAAAATAAAGCATTGGGAAAAATTTTTAACATCAATAAAAAATTAATAATAAAAAAAAAAGTCCTTCAAGTAAAC